AAGAAGTCGTTCTGCAAAGGATCTCATTTTAGCCTTGAGAATTCTATTAAATTTGACTGACATGGTTTTTTTCTTTAATTCAGAAAAGCCAACAGCAATGGTCCAGAATGAGCTTCAAAAATGTTTTGCACCCTAATGAGCTGTAAAAAAAAAAATTCTCAGCAATTCATATTAAAATATGCATAGCAATGTATAGAGTGGGCTTTGTCTTTGTTGGTCTTTATTCCTATAGAGGAAAGCTGTGAAGTGGAATAAGTTTGGTGAAAGCTTAATGAACAATTCACACCAAATGCATGTCAACTTAATCAAAACTCTGTAAGAGCCAGCCCCTCCTCTTTAGAACTGAATTTATAAACAAAAAACCAAAGGCAAATTCCACCATTAAGTTTTCCCACATTTCTGAATTAACTTGATAGCATTTTAATTAGACAAGATTAGCAGCATCTCACAACAGACTAGTTAATGGCTTGTTAATTAGGAATTGCATGGCACGATTTCTGACCTGCTAAACAAGATCCTTGAGCTCAAATTAAAAGGACTTGTTCTCTCATTGAATGGATTGCTAGGCCTCATGTGGAGGCCCTAATGAAACAGCCATAATAGAGAACAAGGCTTGCCTTCCACCACAATCAGTATTCCCTTTGTACTTTTTCTAAATCACTAACAAGGAATTAACACACTCCAACATGCACTCAGCAGAGTCTTATTCTTCTTGCTACCCTGACCCCCTATTTAAATGTAAAATATTCTTCTTTAAAAAAATAACGACACCTGTCAGGTTCTTCAGCCAGCTTTATTAAACACTAACATTATGATGATGATGAAGGAAGGAAGGGATCTCAACCTGTTTTTGTCACATATTTTACAAATGCTAAACATATTATGGAATTGAATAATGAACTGAAGCATCTTTTTTTTTTTTTAACCATTTACCACCTTCTGTCTGGGAACACAGACAGAAATTTCAGGGACTGTATATGATTAGTGTATTTTGAAAGTTTTCATTTCACTTCAAACTAAAGTTAATGGAATTATGTGCATTAGTCCAATATAGTATAGATATAGCTGAAAGCACTATTGTGTTAGAATATTTAGAATAGCATGAAACTTGCTTACACATAAACCCTAACAATTAATTGATACCTCACCTGATACTATATTTAGGAAGAATTACAAACATATGATTTAAAGCAAATAGATTAAAAATGTGCAAACGTAAGACAACAATCCAAACATGAGGCACTCTCCATGCGACTGTAATGCCAATGCATGCAATGTCTAAACATACCATACTAAAACAGGAAAAGGTAATTACAAGTTTCACTTTGCTATTATTTCATTATAGTAGCACCCAGAGCCCCAAAGAGCACGTCCAGACGAACGTGCACATGCCTCTTGCAACATCTCAAAGCCCTTTGAAATGCTGCAAGAGGCACACGTGGGAACAAAAAAACATTCCCTGCGCTGCAAATTTGGCTGTGCAGTCCCCATCCGGGTCTAGCGGGTGGGCAGCAGCCCCCACTGCCAGACTGCTGCAGTGGGTAGAGGGTGCAGGGAACTCTCAGGGCTGCTTCAGCAGTCCAGCTGGCACCCGGTGTAGTGTCCCCAGGTACCAACTGGCCAGGCCCCAGAAGCTCTTGAGAACAAGTAGCCCTGAGCTGCTTGCCAAGGCAGCTTTTTGTACAGATGGGGCCAGGACAGGACAGCTTTTTACACTGCTGGGGCCAGCACAGGTGCTGGCTTCAGGCTCTGGCTCCCCATGGCTGCAGATCTGGGAGGAGCCAGGCAGGGTTATTTTGCCCCAAATGGCACAACTTGCACCACACCGAAGTGCATATCCAGGCATGTGCGCTGAGGCAAAAAGCCCTGGCTCAAATTTGCACAGCTTTTTTGAGCTGCTGCAAGCACGTGTGCCTGCATGTGTGGGTGCGCCCAAAGGGTCTATCTACACTCTAATACTCTAGTCTTGCATGGATTTACAAATAGGAGTAACTTTAAACATGTAAATCATATTACATTTAATCCAAGCATGTATGTAAACTGTCCCAGTATCACTACCAACATTAAGATTCAAAAGAAGGTATAGCAAACAAACAAGGGGAATGCAGAAAGGTAAGATTAGGGTAACAGTGGCCCAAGCATCTGCATCTGTGGTCTACATGAAGAAATTAAAGAATGTGAACTGTTAAAATATAGGTTAACCAAAGGTGATAATGGTGTCATCAGTGTCATCAGATGCAAAGCATCTCTCTAGCCACATTATGAGCTATCAAGCCAAATTATTATTTTTAGTTATCTTTCTTATCTCTCCTTACACTTCAAATTAGCTCATCCAGCTTTCAAGAGGGCGGTTTTTTAGCTTAGAAACAGTCTCAAAAAAGGTTAACACATTTTCTTCGTTATGGACAACAACGATCTTCGGAAACCTGTACTCCCTTTATTTTTGGCACTTAAACAAAAACAAAAAAGCAAGCAAACAAAAAAACCTTTTGTTTGTTTATTTGTCAGCCTTTTTCTGCCTGCACCTCCGTAGATGTTATTAACCCAGAGGTGGGCCATTTCTTCAAGGCAAAAACACAGACATGTGACTATAACAGGGGGCCTGCTCGAGGCCGGTCCAACTGTGGCTCGCCCACCTGTTCTTGGGCTAACCACCCACCTTCTCGCCCGCCATGCCTTGATCTTAATTGATTAATAAAGGTGTAAATTAAATGGAAGGCTGCCCATTCTCAGCTCCCCCTGGCATCGGGGCAATCTGCAGCTCCCTTCCTCCCCTACACCACAGCCCAAGCCTCGCAGATGGCATCTAATTGTTCTCATCATCACCAGCCCCACACTGGGCCCCAAACTCCTTCTATCAGGACCCCTCCAAGATCCTTCCTTTCAGGCGGCCTACCCGGCCTTCATTCAGGCTATGTAGCTCCCTGAAACCATTTTCCCCTCTCGGGTGTGGTCCCCCCGGGACCTTTGTCTACCACCCCTGGCCCATCTTCAGGCCAGTCGGAACCCATAGCTCCTGGCTCTCGGGCGTCCCTCACGGTGGGCCCCTGGCCCTTTTGACCAGTCTGATCCTCCCCCCAGCAATGTCACAGCAGGTGAACTTAAATAAAACTCTCAGACATCTTGATTGAAAGATCACACAAGAGCTTCAGTTAACCAGGGACAGCATAATGGAGTTCCACTGTATATATATATATTCTTAAATCAAACAATTACTCTGCTGGTACACCTCCTGCACAGATGTTCACTCAGATACTCCTTTCTAATTCCCAATAAAGTTCCCTACCCCCTCATACTACCAATACAGAAGCCACATAAATACTTAGACAGATTATACAGTGTGAGTTTAAATTCATATTTGTGTTTAATAGGAAATGTGTGGATAATTCCTCAGCAATTCTGAAAATTTAGGAATAACTTTCTATGTGTACACTTCTTCATTGGAAACTCTTCCCTTATGTCAAACATCTACTTTGTGTCCTGAAAAATCCTATTTTCAAAAGCAAAAGGCAGCTATTTCTGTATTAGTCCTTAGAATAATTAAGCTGCTCCTTCCTGTCTTCTGCCTACCAGATGGCAGGTTGGTATTTCATACTAAGAACTGACCATCTGCAATCCTCCCCTTGAATAAACTAACTGTTAAATAGGACCAGAGAAAGCAATCTTTCCACTCAGAAAACAGAGCTTCAATGATGAGATTAGCATCATGTAGTTCAATTCATGCAGCTAAGTGATTTTTCAGTCACTTGGCAGTCACTTTTGCTTATAAAACACACCAGCCTCCTATCATGAGATAGGTAATAGATAATTGCTTTGAATGTTAACATTTAGAGCAGTGGTTCTCAACCTTTTTTGTACCAGGACCCATTTGTAAACATCGATGGTTAGTCCAAATCCAGTGCCCCTCACTCCTGACCCACCCCCCCCCAGGCTGAGGCCCCCCAATGTGTGGAGTCGAGGAGGGGCAGAGGGCCTTCAAGCAGCCCCTTGAAGGCTGGAACTCTGCCAGCCTGCAAAGGGAAAAGCCACGGTTTCCCACGTTTTTCTCGTTTAAAGAAGAATCTATTTTTAAGTTTTGTTGATCCATTTTTTAAAGTTTGTTTGTGACTGTTTCATATATTCTCGTCACCCACTTTTGGGTCGTGACCCACGGGTTGAGAAATACTAGAATAAAAGACATGACTATCTAGTTACTTCCTACTGCCTTAAGTGAACTGTCCTTTTTTAGACAAGATAGATGTAATATTTCCAAGATAACCCATAGCAGAGTGCTAAGGGGTTATTTAAGCACATTTTTCAACCTGGGTACACTGACAGAATCATACCATCTCCTCTGCTTTCAATTGTGGAAGGCATGAAACAGAGGAAAAGCCTCCCCACCTTGGCCAGAGTTCTATCCAAGGGAAGCGGGTTAAACCAATATGATCAGCACAGGCTATGTGGATTAAGAGTGGAGTGGCATATCTGGAAAAGAGCTTAGCTCTGTGAACACACTGGTCAACCCTATCTTTCACACCCAAACTCTAGCTGTATACACCTGAGGCATGCATATAAGCAGAAGGGAAAAGTTAGCAGAGACTCCCAAGGAGATCCTGCTGCCAGAGAAAAGGGAAACCAAGCATCACATGGAGGCACTATACCTCTTTGTCCATGCTCCAGCCAGTTGTGACTGTTCAATATTTGCTTACCTGTCCACACTGCGGAGGTTAGAAGATGGTGAGGTTAACATGTGCCAGCCCTATGAATAAGATATTTTGGCAAAAGTTCTGTAGCCTCAAAACATTTACTACTTCAGGTTGGCTGCCCTGTGCTCTTGTATGTAAGAAAATCTGATTTGGCCTAAAATTAAGTTTATGAGACTTTTGTTGTTGGTAGACTCTTATTATGACAAACTAATGCAAAATCCACCCCCCAAAAAACCTGATCACAAATGAGACTTTAACAAATATTACACACATGCACTTTAAAACAACACTGCTTACCTTCTGCTTTCATGTAGTGCACAGAGTATGCAATCACTTTATCTGAATTATACAGGGGTCGCTCCCAAGCAAGCAGGATTGCTGAACTGGACATAGTTTCAGCATGGACATTATAGGGAGCACTGGGTCTGTCTTCTGACATAACTACAGTCAGTCTGGCCCGGGACAGGATACAGCCCTGGCTATTTTCAGCCATACACTGATAAATAGCATCATCTTCAGGAATTATCTGATTGATCACCAATTTACTAAAGAGAGAGAGAAAAAAAAGGGGGGGGGTGTCTTATATTAATTTAGCTTAGTATAATGAAAATTCTCACTCTTTTACCCCTTCTCTATTAATTCATACTCTAAATGCCTTAGATTGAATTTACTATTCATTCTTTTCAGTTAGAAATTGATTGTCAAAGTGAGAAGCTTTAGAAGGTCTTCACAAACCTTCTTCCAGGCCCTATGCTTAGTCCTAAAGTCAAACACATTTTAAAAAAGTAAAGGCATTTTTACAAACTTCCTCTTTAAAAGCCATTACTAGAGTTACTCTTTCATAACGCTATACTTATTTTTCCCCCACCAGTAGGGTTTTTTCATGTTCATTGGATTTTAATAAGAGGTGCTAATCTGGGGAATATAATGATATGAAATAGCTCAAACAGCAGACCAGAGTCTATCTTCTTTAAACCACTGAAAATTCAATGAAGTCAACTAAATTACTCCAGTTAATTTACTGAAATAGCAGAGATCATAAACTGGAAAAAGTTCTAGCTCTGATTTTGATGTCCTCAATTTGTATGTATTTTACTTGTGTAATAATCTCAAAAGCTAGGGTCAATGGCTATCTGAATGGTCTGAATACTTTAATGAATCACAAGAAAAGATATTCTTTTACCTGAGCATGCTGTTCTCTCCCATATGTAACATTTTAATAACTACTGTACATTTCACAACTGCAATGATTTAACAGCAGTAGTAATCTCACCTGTTGTACATTTTAATTCTACCATTAGAGTGTATCCTTCTCCCATTTTTCAGCCATGATATTTTGGGTACAGGAATTCCTTCTGCCTGACAGGCAAAACGGGCTGTCCCAGCTCTGGGCCTTGTTAAACTTTCAGGCCATTCCACAAAAGAAGGGGGCGCTGCAGATAAATAATAAAATAAAAATTAAATCTACAAAAAAACTAAAGTTCTCAGGGTTCAAACCAAGAAAATTTCCAATGGACAAATCCCTCTAAGGCCACAGGAAGAGCATACAACATCATGTAAGTACATGTTTCATATGCACAGATATCATGCTTTTAAAAAATATATGTAAAAATTAACCATTTTCATTTCCATTAGTTCATGTGTCTATAAATTAATTATTTAAAAGTCCAATGTATAAAGTGTTGCTCTTGAAGCATTCACTTAAGTTACACTTTTGACCTTGCTAGAAAAAGACTCATTCCATAGCAAACACATCCATTTCTCTCTAAGAGCAAATAAATTGTAGGAAATAACTCTTTAATCATGTGTATCTGACAGTAACTCATTCAAAGTAGTCTAACAAAAAATGGCCCAAACTCAATGTTCTGTTCACCTGTGAGACCACACTGCAACCCATCAGCTACATCAACAAAATCAATGGCAGAATGAACCTGAACTGTCAGCTACAGAACAAATTTTCACACAGTAGCAAGTTTTGTCAAACTGGAATTCAAAACAAGCTCACCTAACACAGTGAGAGTTGCCATTGCAACCGTGAAGTTACGTGTGCCTGGAATAGTGGCTCGACAAACATAAACTCCTGCATGCTGCACCTTCACATCAGATATCATGAGGTTCCCATTTCCAAGGACCCGGGTATTGAAGACATCAATAGACTTATGGTCTGTTTCAGAGAGAAAAAAGTATGGTTACAAGATTGCTCCATGGTGTATTTTTAATCTAATTTACAGACTAGATGGGCCAAAGGCTTGGGGTAATGCCCAGTAATCAAAAGACAGAAAGGGAATTCACAGGCTTCCATTTTTATTTAGTTTGCCTCAGTTGTGCTTTGCGAGGGCCCTCCAGACAGGTCTTTGATCACTTGGATAGCACGTCTAGTTTATGTTTGAAGTTTTTCCTGTTAGCTGAATTACTGCCAGTATCCCAGGCAACCTACAGGGTACACTTTGTACTTCCCGCCTTAAGTTGAGATTGAATTAATTGCTGGTAATGCCCACTTCAATTTCACAGACAGAGAGTATTCATTTACTAGTAGATTATGTTGAGAATGAAAGGATTTCTAAGCAAATGCTGTGTAGAAATCCTGGTAAATTAACTATCACATTTCCTTTTTTCTTAGTTGTATTTCTATATGCTCCCAAGCCCAGAAAGACTTCACTATTTATTTCTCTTACCCCTAGACGTACGATACACAAACAATATCTGATGACTGGTAAATCAGATCTTTGACAAACAGTTCTGCATTTTACATTTCTTTCACATAACATAGGCGTGTGTAGAGGGAAGAAGCTATAATTCTTTTTGTAGAAAATACAGATTTGTTACAGTCAAATTCCACCTCTTCTTCCCATTCCTCTGTTCAGGAACAGATTATGGCCAAGTGTGGCCTAAATCAGCTGTGAACATAGCGCCAAGGCCACAATTATGTATTTAATTGTTTTTATTTGTAACCATTCAAACCAGTCATACCCCACAGTTGATTCTACCTCCCAGTCACACAGTCCCCAAAGGTCACAGTCCCATGCTCCTTCTCCCCAGTCCTGTACTGCCAAGTACTTACAGTACTATAAGTGACTGAGCAGAATCAACAGTTGAAAGCAGGCAAATCCAAAGGGCCAAAAAATGCCTTACAGCTTCTCTATAGCATAAGGGAAAGATGATCCAAAACGTACTTTACACTTTCGAACCCAAATCAACTTCTTCCTCTTATCAGTCTAAGAGTACACAAAGCCCACAAACAATAACCTAATTACTGAAATCCTTTCTTTCCAGTTTCACTTCCTTTCAACAGGCTAAAGGTTGCAGGCTGTAATTTTAAGACTTACCTAACCGGCTCCAAGAGATGATTGGCTTTGGATTCCCTGTGGCAACACACTCCAAGATGACAGTTTGATGAAGAGATGCTGTAATGTTCTGGGGACCAGCTATAATGGCTGGCTTGTGGAACAGCTTCAAGTCCAAGGCTTTTAAAAGCAAAGGATTAAATAAAAAGCCAGTCAATCATGACATAAAGCACAATAACTACATGCTAAGCGCAAGGCTGCTTGAAGCTCACCCTTAAAGTTAAAATTACAAATACAGAACATTTTCTTTAATTGTGTCATAAGTAATTGTACACATTCAGGAAAAGAAGGAAATAGAGCTGTTGCTGCTGAGGCTGATGGGTCCTTTTCAAAATAAGTCCAAAGACAGTAAGAGCTCTCTATTGAAGGTATCCCTTTGTAGACTGTTGTGGAAAAGACCATAATATTGGGGGGGGGGGGGTTT